TTCGAACATCATGGGGGGGGGAAGCCCCCCCAACCCACCCGCGACCGTTTAGATTGTTTGCAGAGTAATTGCACTTGTGTTTGAATCAACGTTTCTTTAAACATCATGGGGGGGGCTGCCGCCCCCGCTACTTTTTAGATTTCTTGCAGAGATTGAATTGCACCCCTATTTGAATCATCACTTTTTCGAGCGTCCAATTTTGCGAGAAAATGCTGCAACGTACGACATTTTAGGTAATCTGTGCAATCCATGTATGTCTGTGAGTATGCGCTTCTTCAAACATCATACGGGAAGCCACCCCCGCCAACCCTCTCGCTGCGTTTGAAACAGCAATTAAATTGCACCCCTAGTTGAATCATCAATTCTTCGAACATCATGGGGGGGGCTGGCCCCCCCCCAACTTTTTAGATTTTTTGCGAATCATCACTTCTGCGAACATCATGGGGGGCTCCCCCCCCCCACCCCCCCCCAAACCCCCCCCCCAACCCCCCCCCCCCCCCCCCCCGCTACTTTCTAGTTTTTCAACAGGGACTGAAACGCCCTCCTATTTGAATCATCATTTGTTTGACCCCGTCAACCCGCCAGCTACTTTTTCGATTTTGTTACCCACGATTTGTTGGTGATGCTAGGGATGTTGGTCGGACACGCGTTGGATGTTTAAAACGATGCTGTGGATGTTGACGGGCTAGTGTAAAATGCGTCAATTTCGCGAGAAAATGCTGTAAAATACGACATTTTACTGGCCCGGACGAAAAGCAAAAAACACATGCAAAAAAATCGGAAAATCCAAAAACAAGTCCGCACCCTAGTGCTATCCACAGCAGCAACAACAACAGCAGCGACAAGCTGCAGCCGCAGCGGGACGCAGTCACCAAAGCCTTCGGGTGACTGCTTCCGTGTTGGCCCATTGCATCAGTATCATCTGAAGCAGGATACTGAAAAGTCCTGCGCCTTTCTCTCACTCTTCTTGTCACTTTCCTTCTTCTTCCCATCACCTTCACCGCCACTCACAAGTGATGATGACTACCATGATGATGATGGTGAGAAGGATGAAGACTGTGAAGATAACTATCATCGTAGCATCCCCTGCATTGCCAATGAAATGTGTATAATTATGTAATAATAAGAAGTAGGAGAGAGATGATGATGACCGCCGTGATGATGATCAAGGTGATGATGGTGACCGTGAGGCTGATGATAAGGATGATGACGGTGATGATAACTATCATCGTAGCGTCCTCTGCGTTACCAATGCTGCCTCATGCGGGATGACGAGGGTCGTGAGGACAACGATGATAAGGATGAAGATTCTCAGAAGAACTATCGTCGTAGCACCTCTGCATTGCCAATGGTGCTGAACGCCACACTATCATCGTAGCATCCTCTGCATTTCCAATGCTGCCTCATAAGAGATGATGACAGGGCAATGATGATAAGGATGAAGACTATGAAGATAACAATCATCGTAGCATCCTCTGCATTACCGAATTGAAATGTATATGGTAGAAAGGAAGAAACAGATGATGATGATGACCGCCATGATGATGATCAGGGTGATGATGAGTGCAACACGCAGAACGCGCTTTTGCAGCCCCAGCTCGAAAGACGCAACTTTCCAACACGAAGCGAAGAAAGGATTTTCACCTTCGTTTGGGCAACTGCCGGCTCGGGGGGCAATTGAGTGTCGCTCCATCGTCTCAAATGTGTCTCTCTCCGGGCCGGAGCGCCAAAGCGCTGAACATGTTTCAGTTGGATGCAGCCGCACGCTCAAACATAAGAAGACTCTGACTCAGCCAGCCCGCTCGTTGCGCAAGGCGGAAAGGGGGAAAGGTTTTGGGGGGGAGGAGCGGGGAACAGATCTTAGGGATGGAAAGGGGGGACAGATCTTAGGGGGGAAAGCTATTAGGATTTGACACGTCAGATTTTCAGGATGGGGAATGACCTTAGCCCCCCACCCCCTCCGCAATAGGCAGAAACCATGCCCCTGGGAGGGGTAAGGGGAGGGGTAAGAGAACCAGCCGAACTCCTCGGCGGCCTCGATAGCTTGCAATCACGCGCAGAGGAGTTGAATGTGCGCACAACCTGCGGCAAGAAGTTTCGCCAGGGACCGTGCAAGAACAAGGAGAAGGCCAAGGAGAACGAGCCCGCTCGCAGCTGCCTGCAGAAGATGCTATCGCCTGAAGAGCGTTCCTCGTCAGATGAGGACATCGCGCTGGGTTCTCCGCCAGGAGCCAGCGCAATCCAGCTCTTCATCTTCGAAGGGAGAAAAGCTCCGGCTGATCGTCGCAAGGGTTGGGTTCACAGATGCAACTTTGCGGTTGAGCAGAAGAAGACGGCTGGTGTGGCAGAAATTTGCGAGTAAACCGTATGGACCGTATGGAGGACAGACGTATGCCACCAGTTGGTGCCACAGCCTGGCGAACAGGACAAAGGTGACTTCATACTAGGGACTCTGTTAAAGGGTATGTTGTGCCTGGAAAAACCGACAGTGTTTGGAGGCTTGCTGTTCACTTTAAGCGTCTTTGCACCAGGGGATCTGGAGAACATCTCCACCAAGACTATGTTGTCCGATGTCAAGGAGAGGGACGATTTGCTTGCGATTTATGCTTACGAGTCTGGAGTTACATTGGGCGGAACATTTGAGGTCATCCTGTTCATCAAGATCCGTGGCATCTGGCGATTCAGGTCAGTAAGCGTGGACCTGTCAAGAACGTGAGGCGGATCTACTCTTGCCAGTCGACTTCCTGAGCAACTTGTCCGATTACTGCAAGAATGATGACTCTGCAGACTCAGGTATTGTGTGAGAGCAGGTCAAGATCGGGCACTGGTCGACATCAGGACACCATCAGCAGGTATGTGACCTATGTCCTGCCTGCGTGTGCAAAGACAGTACCTTGTGGGTCTTGCTTCGGCGCAGAATGCGATTGCAAAGTTCATCTCCACCGGGAAGTTCGTACTCAACGTCGACACCTCCGAGGGCACAGGAGCAAATGACAGGTCCGAATCCGCACAGGCCCAGAAGGAAGCAGCTAAGCCGGAGCAGTTTGAGGGTGAGCCGGAGGCATCTGCGACTGATGAAGGAGGTCGCGAACATCAGGCGCACCAACCTATGAAGGACTTTATTGCCCACACGTTCCCTGCAGGACGCGTGATGACTGTTCCTCAATGTCGACGACGCCAACATCCCAATTCCTCCAACCTTTGACCAAGTCGCAACAGCTCCACACATTGCGGGAATGACTTTTAAAAACCAAGATTACAAGGTCGACGAAGTCTCGCGTTGCTACTGAAAGGTAAAGAATGGCAATACTGCTTGTGTCGTATTTGGACTGCCCGTAGCATACTGATGGTAAAACAATTCTCCCCGGCAAAACAGAGCACGACACCGATGAGCGACATCATCTTCAGATGTGTCGCCCTTGCTTTTTGCGACTACTTGACTTGTCACAGGAGTGACGTCAACATGGGACGCAAGTTCGCGAAGATGGATCTGGCTCCGATTTTGTATGTGTGATGAGCAAAGGAAAGGTTGACGTACCTCTCATTCAGTGGTGTTCACGCAAGAATATCACGCTGCCTGGCAGGTACATCTGGAGGCTTGATTGATCTCCTCATTGCTGGAGAGGTTCAGTGCTTCCAGCATGGTTTCCACTGCAACTTGTACGCGGGGGATTATATGATCATGCCTCATGCCATCATTTCTTTCAGCGTGTGTCTCATTGGTTCTTTATTCGCTGGTGTGCTCTTTCACGGGTCGATGACATCATGGATTTTCCGGCATGTGTGGACCAGGTGTGAGCGTGCACGCGTGCCCGACAGCCAACCATGTACTTGTTCCTGATGAGTTGAAAAATATTCATTCACATAGGTGCGTCGTGGTATATTTCTATGGAGCAAAAATGGAGTTTGGCTTTGGTTCGTTTGGTCATCAGTGCAACCCCGAAAAAGAGGTTTGCAGTTTCCACTGCTGTCTGGGACGCAGCGGCTAGATAGATGCTGGGGGATGTGCTTCACGCCCAACCAGATAAGCGCTTAAAGTGCTAAGTCTGGCCTGCTGAGTCCGCAGGCGTGGCTGGCGTGCAGCTTCCAACTCAGATACAACGCTGGAGCGGACCTGTGGCTTAAGGTTCGAAAGATCCCAAAAGCAGCAAAGTGAAGCGATTGCAACGGCGGCCCGCGTGCTGAACGTTGCCGTGACCTTACGCTATTCTGCGTAGTGCGCTTGTACTGAAAGTTATACAGCGCTCCAGAAGGTGCGTTCTGTGAACCACGCTTGCTCTAGCAAGTGTGACCGTTTGAGCTGGTGCGAAAGTGCACTTTTTGTGTCGCGCTTGTAATAGTTGCTGTGCTGAGCTATTGCGATATGAGCCGGGGCTACAAGCATGTGCTTCGCGCACCATTTTCGCTCGAGCTGCGAAAAATGAGCGGCCTGTGCGCGGAGCGGCAGCGGGGCTGCCAGGAGTGATGCCCATGCCAGCCATGGCAGATAATCGTGGAAAGTGTTTTGTTCGCCGCACATGCATGAGCGATAGGAAAATACTGTAGTTAGCCTGGCAAATTGCAGAAACAGATGCTAATGCGAGACTGCGAGACTCGTGGATTCGAACGCGCAAGTCTACACTTGCTCCTCACAGAACGGATGCGCTGGATTTGCAAGTGGCTAAACATTCTGATCAATCGCTTGCCGAGCCCTTGATAGCCTTTGTCTCGGAAGATCTCATGTTACGGGCGACACGATGTTGCATCTTCCAATGCCAACATGAGCCCATCAAAGCTCATGGTTCCAAAGTCTCTCGCGGTGGAGCCCGAAAGGGCCTCGAACCCAGCACTACCTGGGGCACTGTAAGTGTCAAACACTTCGGGGCAGTTGTAAATTGAGGCTGTTTTCATGGTTTGTGTTAATTTGTATTGCGGTATCTGGGGGGGAACCGAAAAGCAAGCCTTTCAGAGTTGCCCCTATTTTCACACACGCACGGGCGCACCGTTTTGCGGTTCGGCAGGCCCAGAGCATCCGCTTGCCACAGCCTTTGGAGTCGACATGGACGAGAGGGGAAACTACAAGGCGTTCAAAACGTTTCGCGCGCGCGCAAGTTGGGCTTACAGCTAAAGGTTGAGCAAAGCATAGCGGCAGTGGTGACAGTAGCCAGGCCCTCTATCAGAGGAGCGAAGGCGACTTCCAGACCTCAAATTCCAAGGCCACAGTGGCCGTTGCCGTGTGGAGCCGGCTCGCAGTGTGCAGGGTAAGGTTTTACTGGCGTGTTTCCCGCGGGGTAAAACTGTAGCTGTTGCCATCGGAGACTCTCGTTGCATGGCGTTTATGCGGAACACTGGTTGCATGACCTGTCAAAGTTGCATGACCCGGAATTGGTGTCAGAATCGGTTTTAGCCTGAAGCCACGGGAGCAGAGAAACGGATGACCCAAAGTGGCATGATCTTCGAACCCCTCTCCCAGTGATGCATTCGAACCCAAACGAGTTTCAAGGCTTGCAATTTCAAGCAGGTCTTTGCAGCTGGCGATTGCCGCCGCGGCCAGTCTTTGGTGGTTTGGGCGATCAAGGAGAGCCGAAGCGTTGCGAGGGGGAAAATCTTGGCATTTTTCGCAAGCGCCAGCACCTCCAAACAGCCTGTGATTTGGATGGGGGTTTCAAGATTGCAAGATGCGACGGCCGGACCATGAGTGACAGGATGTGACAGGTCGTCTTTGCAGGAAAACTTGTTGGCCTCGTGTCACTCAGTTCACACAGGGTTTTTCAACCGTGTCCCTGAGGAGGGTCGTGATGCTGCAACAGCAGTAAACAGCGACTTGTAAAGATTGAAGATTTCGTTCGGCTTGCGCGCGGATCTGTTTTGACCGGATTGCGTTTGCCAGACTAGTCTGCTCTTTTGGGCTCAGTTGAGCATTGCCTTCTGCGTTTGACATGGGATGCTTGGTTTGGCAGCATTGGGATGGTGCATGCACCAGTTGACAGTGAGTGGCAAGCGAACCGTTTGCTGCTGAGGTTACCTCAACAGCGGCGACTATCCCGGCTATGCCTCCTAGACTGCCCATGCGATCGGGCCCTGTCCTGATGTTTTCTTTGAAGACATATTCCATCCCCGCTCGCACGATGTGCGTGCGTGCTTACTGCGCCTTGAGATCCTGGCTGCAAGAGAACGCTGTTTCTATTTGATTTGGCCAGAGGCGCGCAGGGCGCAGCTGGTGATATGTCGCAAGTTCTCATTCCTCCGGTGATTTTGATCTGCTTGTTCCACTACTCAGAGCAAAGCAGAGCCAATACAGCCTGTGCTGTGACGTCAAAAAGAAACCTTAAGCACCCAGAGTGCCAGGTCTAGAGGCTTTGCAGGTTGGCCGTTGTTCGCAGTCGATTCCTCTTGCAATTCTGAGCTAGTCAGTCTCTGTGCTTCCGCAGGCTCCGGCTCAAAGGCACGGAAGCAAAAGATGTAAAAAGCAACAACATATGCAACATATGCAACATATGCAACATACGCATTATGCAAAAGCAACTCAAATCGTTGCCCGGAATCCAGCTTCATGCAGCCTCGCCTGCAATGGCTTCCCGAACTGGGCTGGACGCTTGGTTCTCCTTGCTTTTTGCCACATTGGCCCAAAGCTCGGGGTGGGTTGGATCTCAGTCGGAGAATGACTTGGGATCTTGGGCACAGTTTGAAAGACCGCGCGTAGGACACTTCAGCGAGGATTGCGATTCATCTGATTTGAGCCCCCGTCGTGCTTCTTGAAGCAGTCCGACTGGGATTTCATGCTGCTTGCCGAGGTCTTTGCGTGCGTCGCTTTGGCGCAGGCGTTTGCATGCTCAAAGATGGCGCAGACAGGGAACACTGGGGGCTAGAACATGTTCAACACCTGAAAGTCATGACTGCACACTCTTGAAAGTACAAGGTGAAGCGCTGTTGAACAGCCCCCGCGGGATGTCCACCATCCTTTAAGCCTGGATTGTTTGGCTTCTCGGGTCCTGGAAGCAACGGCCAGCCGTCAGGTGCAATTGCTATGAAGGTGGGCAAATGCAAGGGGCTGACCTTCGAAGAGTGCTTGGCAAAGCAACCCCGGTGCGCCTTTTGTGAAAGCTAGGGAGTCACGCCTTCATGATGAGAACCTTGGAGTTGATTGCTGTTCGGGTGAGTTTCGAAACTGGGTGAGTTTCGGCGACGGCGTCGGAGCTTTGTTTCATGCAGTTGTCATGTGGCCGCTTTTTGCGCGCAAATTGTTTGAGCTGCTTTGCTGAACAACAACAGACCGAATATGATTCCGACTTTTCTGCACTGGCGACCCGTGAGTGTCATTGGCTTCAGTGATTTTCCCAGGATGTGGGATGACGTTTTCTGCTTGGTTGGCAGTTCTGGTCGCTGTGTTGGCTTTGGCGGCTTTTCGCAGTTTCGTAGCTTTTCGCGGTTCTTGGCGGCTCACCGACCCTAAGCCCATTTCTTAATCCCATCCCAATAAGCTCACGAACCAAGTCTAAAGGGAAAAATAAATCAACAGCCCGCTGATGCTAGTTGTGTTATGGTGATGCTAGTAGCGTCGATGATACTGTGTTTGAACCAACGCAGTTTGGCGCCCGGAAACAAGACAAACACAAAACCTGAATCAAATCTCCACCCACCATTCTGAGAGTCAAGCCAACGGGTCAACCTGGACCAGATGGTGGTGTTCAACGAGTAATTGCAGGCGCTGCAAAGTGGGTGCTAAGACATAGCGCGACTGTGAACAAGATTCTCAACACATTGAGCTCGAGGATGTGCTCGCATGTGTCGGCGCATCTCGAATCATTTTCAGGTTACTGGAAAATATGATTTGAAAGGTTGGAGTATGACATCAATTTGGACGACACGCAGGTGTGGCCGGTTGGACAAGGGCGCACTCCGTAGGCAACACAGCTCAGTTTTCAGGTACTGCAACTGGCTGCTCCAGCGAAAGACTATGGGCCCTGAGTATGACGACTTTCTGAAGTTTTTGCGGGGCCGCGCCCAGGCCTCACTTCGGCAAAGCAAAACCAACCACCGAAGGACTGGTATATGGACCTCAATGGCCTAATACATTTTTTTACTTCTGCTCCGCACGCCGGCCTCGCATGTCCACCATGCGGGAGGGATGGAAGGATGGAAGGGGGTGGGAGAGCGCGCGCGCGTGCGCACGCGCAAGTGCGTGCACACGCGCGCGCTCGCACGCACACAGACGCGCCCCATGCGCGCGCCCGTATCCACGCGCGCCCGCGACGTCCGTGCGCAGAAACACACACTGACACTTAGACACGCAGACACGCACAGCCGCGCACACAGACACACAGACACAGAGACACACAGACACACAGACACACAGACACACAGACACACACACACACACAGACACACAGACACACACACACACCCACCCACCCACCCACCCACGCACCCACGCACCCACGCACGCACGCACGCACACACATGCGCGCACGCACGCACGCACGCACACACACAACACACAACACACACCAACACACACCAACACACACCAAGACACAACACACAACACACAACACACAACACACCCCACACAGACACACAGACACACAGACACACGCACACACACCCACACACCCACGCACGCACACACACGCACACACAGACACACAGACACACACACAGACACACAGACACACACACACACACCAACACACACCAACACACACCAACATTCACCAACACACACCAACACACACCAACACACACACACACACCAACACACACCAACACACACCAACATACACCAACACGCACCAACACACACCAACACACACCAACACACACCAACACACACCAACACACTCCAACACACACCAACACACTCCAACACACACCAACGCACACCAACACACACACACACCAACACACACCAACACACACACCAACACACACACACACCAACACACACACACCAACACACACACACACCAACACACACGCCAACACACACCAACACAGACCAACACACACCAACACACACCCCAACACACACCCCAACACACACCAACACACACCCCAACACAAACACACACACACCAACACACACCAACACACACCAACACACACCAACACACACCAACACACACCAACACACACCAACACACACCAACACACACCAACACACACACACACAACACACACCAACACACACCAACACACACCAACACACAACACACACACCCCAACACACACCCCAACACACACCCCAACACACACCCCAACACACCAACGCACACCAACGCACACCAACGCACACCAACGCACACCAACGCACACCAACACACACCAACACACCCCAACACACACCCCAACACACACCCCAACACACACCCCAACACACACCCCAACACACACCCCAACACACACCCCAACACACACCCCAACACACACCAACACACACCAAGACACCAACACACACCAACGCACACCAACGCACACCAACGCACACCAACGCACACCAACGCACACCAACGCACACCAACGCAGACCAACGCACACCAACACACACCAACGCACACCAACGCACACCAACGCACACCAACGCACACCAACGCACGCCGACGCACACCGACGCACACCGACGCACACCGACGCACACCGACGCACACCGACGCACACCGACGCACACCGACGCACACCGACGCACACCGACGCACACCGACGCACACCGACGCACACCGACGCACACCGACGCACACCGACGCACACCTACGCACACCGACGCACACCGACGCACACCGACGCACACCGACGCACACCGACGCACACCGACGCACAACGCACCGAACACGCACCAACGCACACCAACGCACACCAACGCACACCAACGCACACCAACGCACACCAACGCACACCAACGCACACCAACGCACACCAACGCACACCAACGCACACCAACACGCACCAACACGCACCAACACACACCAACACGCACCGACACACAACAACGCACACCAACACACACCAACACACACCAACACACACCAACACGCACCAACACACAACAACACACACCAACACACACCAACTCACACCAACACACACCAACACACGCCAAAACACACCAACACACACCAACACACACCAACACACACCAACACACACCAACACACACCAACACACACACACACACCAACACACACCAACGCGCACACCAACACACACACCAACACACACCAACACACACACACCAACACACACCAGCACACACACACACACCAACACACACCAACACACACCAACACACACCCCCACACACCCCCACACACACACACCAACACACACACACCAACGCACGCCAACACACACCAACACACCAACACACACCAACACACACCAACACACACACACCAACACACACCCCAACACACACCAACACGCACCAACACACACACACCAACACACACACACACCAACACACCCCAACACACCCCAACACACACCAACACACACACACCAACACACACCAACACACACCAACACACACCACACACCAACACACACCAACACACACACACACCAACACACACCAACACACACCCCAACACACCCCAACACACACACCAACACACACCAACACACACCAACACACACCAACACGCACCAACACACACAAACACACACCAACACACACCAACACACACACACACCAACACACACCAACACAAACCAACACACACCAACACACACCAACACACACCAACACACACCAACACACACCAACACACACCAACACACACCAACACACACCAACACACACCAACGCACGCCAACGCACACCAACGCACACCAACGCACACCAACGCACACACACACACCAACACACACACACACCAACACACACACACACCAACACACACACACACACACACACACCAACACGCACACACACCAACTCACACACACCAACACACACACCAACACACACACCAACACACACCAACACACATACCAACACACACACACCAACACACACACAGACACACACCAACACACAGATACACAGACACACACACACACCAACACACACCAACACGCACACACACCAACACACACCAACACACACCAACACACTGCAACACACACCAACACACACACACACCGCAACACACACACACATACCAACACACACACACGCACCAACACACACACACCAACACACACACCAACACACGCACCAACACACACATCAACACACACACCAACACACACCAACACACACACACCAACACACACACACCAACACACACACACCAACACACGCCAACACACACCAACACACACACACCAACACACGCCAACACACACCAACACACACCAACACACACCAACACACACACCAACACACACCAACACACAGCAACGCACACCAACACACACCAACACACACCACACACACACACCAACACACACCACACACACACCACACACACCACACACACCACACACACCACACAAACCACACACACCACACACACCACACACACCACACACACCACACACACCACACACACCACACACACACACCACACACACGCACGCAGACACACCACACACCACACACACACTTTATACACCAGACACACACGACACACACCTCACGCACCACACACACAGCACACACACCACACACACCACACACACACCGCACACCAAACGCACGCCACACGCACACCACACACAACACACACACGCACCACACACACCACACACACCACACACACCACACACGCGACACACACCACACACACACCACACACACACCATACACACCATACACACCACACACGCACACACCGCACACAACACACACACACACACCACACACCACACGCACCACACACCACACACACCACACACCACACGCGCCACACACACCACACACACCACACACCACACACACACCACACACACACCACACACACACACCACACACACTACACACACCAAACACCACACACACCACACACAGCACACACACCCCACACACACACCACACACAACACACACACACACCACACGCACCACGCACACCACACACCACACACACACACACCACACACACCACACACACCACACACACCACACACACACCACACACACCACACACGCGACACACACCACACACACCACACACACCACACACACACCACACACACCACACACACCAACACACACACACAACACACATCACACACACCACACACACCACACACACACCACACACACACACCACACACACCACACACACACACCAAGACACGCACACACACACACACACCAAGACACGCACACACACACACACACACACGCACACACGCACACACGCGCACACGCACGCACACACAAAGGCACAAACACACAAACACACACAAACACACACAGAGACTCAGAGACACAGAGACACAGAGACACAGAGACACAGACACAGAGACACACAGACACACAGACACACAGACACAAAGACACACAGACGCACAGACACACAGACACACACCCGCACGAAACACATCACACAAGCACAGCGCAAAACACACAACGCACAAAACACAACACGCAACGCACGCAACACAACACACAACACAAACACACAACGCGCAACACACACCACACCCAACACACAACACACAACACACAACACACAACACACAAAACACACCACAGTACACCACACCACACCACACCGACCGCACCGCACTGCACCACACCACATCACACCCACACACACACTCACGCACACACCACACACACAGCCACCCGCACACACCACACACCACCACCCACCACACACCGCACACTACACACACCCGCACAGACATACACCCGCACACCTACACACCCACTCGCCCACACACCCGCACACCCGCACACCCACACACCCACACGCCCACACACCCACACACCCACAAACCCGCACACCCAGACCCACACACCCACACACACACACCCACACACCCACACACCTGCACACCCGCACACCCTCACACGCACACACCCACACACCCAGACACCCACACACCCACACACAGACCCACACACTCACACACCTGCCCACACACCCACCCACACACCCACACACCCACACACCCGCACACCCACACGCCCGCACACTCGCACACCCACGCACCCACGCGCTCACGCACCCGCACACCCACACACCCGCACACCCGCACACTAGCGCACCGCACACTAGCGCACCCACACAACCCACACACCCACACACCCACAAACCACACCCACACACCCGCACACCCGCACACCCGCACACCCGCACACCCGCACACCCGCACACCCGCCCACCCGCGCACCCGCACACCCGCGCACTAGCGCACCCGCACACCCACACACCCAGACACCCACAAACCCACAAACCCCCACACCCACACACCCGCACACCCGCACACCCGCACACCCACGCACCCACACACCCATTCACCGACGCCCCCGCTTGGATGATTCGTGTGTTGCTAGCAGGTTAACATGTCTTATGTTACTTGGCTAAAAGTAAAGGAAGGTTAGACGCAGTTAGCGTCATTTATCTTAAGGGGTTAGCTAAAGGGTTAGTTAAAGGGTTGCCTAAAAGTTAGCATGGGCGTGTGGCGGTGGACAATGTAAAGCAAAGACGGAATGTGTGATTTACCAAGGAATTCCACGCATATGTGTTTTGACAGAGCTTCTTAAGGCTTTTTAAATCATGGTGTGCGTATAGACAATCCACACTGGCGGAATGTCATTCACTAATACCTTGCCTCACAGGGGCACATTGAGCCTTTTATGGCTGGTTTGCAAGAGGCAGTTCTTTTTGACCACGGAGCCGCAGAAGCGAAGTCTTTGTTGGAATGCGCAAGAAGCTTGAATCATGTCTGGCACAAGTGCCAAGGCATAAGAGAGTTCAAATGGATTCCTTGGCCCAGCGCTGTGTAGATGACAGGAGTAAGCAACATGTCCAGAGGAACCAAGGCCTTTCTATCGGACATCATCCAAGTCGCGGATCTCGAAGGCAAGGAAACCTCCTGAAAATCAAGGTATTGCAGCAAAGCCAAATGTTCGTCACCTGTTTAAGCAAATGCCCAAACTTCAGCAGCTCGAAATGGAGGCACCGGGCCTTGCAGGAGGACCGCATCTCCTCTGGAGCACTTTGTGCGCTGCAATTGGGCTTCTTGACTTGTGAGGACATCGGCGCGCGGCGGGGTTCCAACAAGTAGGCGCCCGTGCGAAAGACATCTCTCTGCCTAACTTTGCAAGCTCTTCTGCAACGATTTCTTGAAACATAGAAGCCTCAAAGCTGCTGGTGTTCTGGTGCGCGCTGGCGAACTTGCTAATTTTCCAAAGCGAGCAAATTGGTCGCACGTATGTAACGGCCAGTGCCATTTCGGAATCGTTCTCCAACCGCAAAGAGCACAGGGATCGTTCAACTGCTTGAAGGAGCATTGGTCTCGTGGTGTAATTCCAGGTCTGCCCTTCGCTTAACATGGCAACCGCTTCAGCTGCTGCCAAGAAAGCTGTCACGGTGTCGGTTGCAAAACCAGAAGGCAAGAGGACGGGCGGCTCCAAAAGACCAACAAGGGAAGCAAAGCCAAGCATTCCGAAGCTTGCGTGGCAAACCTTGTTTTTCTCCTTGTATGTCTTAACTTTTTTTTCGCATCGAAGGGGTCTGGCTGAGCGACATATGCACGAAATTCATAGGTGGCAATGCTCATGGTGCCGTTGGAGCAGCAGCCATGCATCCAATCATGAGCGTATTGTTCAGCAGGCGCAGGAGGTGAGCTTGTAGACGGGGGTCTAGAGGCAAAATTCTTGGCTGATACGTCTTGCCCACGGCTTGTTGCCATTTGACAAATTGTCATACGCTTTCGCTTTTCTTCCATGCGATCATAGGAGGCCAGAATCTCATCGCCTGTGAAGAGTCGAAGAGCGGCGTGCGTCGCATTGGTCACATGGCCTTCCTCTGCATCGGTCTCTTCTCGAGATCGATCACTTGTGATATTGCGCAACAGACATGGTTTGAATGCGGCATCCCTTTGCTAGCTCCAGCAGAACTTGTGACTACCTCCATCTTGCAAAACCATCTGCAAATCCACGAAAATCTTCAGGGATCTGCAACCAGGCTTTGGTAGAAGCGATCCAAGTCTGGGATCACAGCCGCTTTGAAGAAAGATTGATTTCACTAAGGCGGCAAAAACCTGAGAGACACCGCCCTGGAGACTCTTGACCAATGTGGATCGGATATGAAGTAAAGGCGCCCAATCCAGTTCCTGGCCTAGTGTCTCCAAGCAAAAATCTAGCAAGGGCGCATAGACGCGCCAACACTTGCGACTCACTCGAGCAGCAAGAACATTTCCAGGCGTGATTTCGTCCACGTAAGCAATCAAGCCCAAAGGCCTGTCGAAGGAAGAGCTCTGCGTAGCCTGAGTCTTCGAAATAATCAAAGCGTGAAACGTAGCACTCTCTGCAAAAAGGGAGCCATGTACGATTTCCAATTCAATGCCAGAACAGCAATGGTATTCCCATTGACTTGATGTAACTTTAGTTCTGTCTGCAAAGGGCATATTCTCCACTGAGAACAGCCTTGGTTGCTTTCGAAAACTGCGATCTGCTTGCCTCCTCAGGCAATCCGTTCTGTCGAATATCCTCAACAATCTTTGCCAGAGCGGATTGGGACACATACTGTGGACTGTCTGAGATTTTCTAAGCATTGGAATTTCTGTTGACTGCGACAGACCCATGGGGAGGACAAAGTGTCCTCTTACAGTTGGCAGAAGCCCGAAATGGATCGGGCTCGGCGTCGCTAGAGACATGGAGGATAGAAACAGCTCGCGTGTGAACATCTTAGAGGACGCCAGAGCCGCATGGGCTACAGCTGAAAACACCAATTGAGCCTTATAAGGCGATATCAAGCCGAAAGAAGGCTAAATTAGCCTCACGCGAGCCTCGTAAGGCAACAGCTAAGCCCAATAGTCAGGGCGGCCAGAGGAGACACAAGCGTTTTTTGGCCCAAGAAGCAACTATGAGCATGTCACTTTCCTGCTTCCTTTTGAGCGAGGAGAAGCGTTGATTGAGCGAGGAGAAGTGTTGACAAGGCGGTTCCCCTGCAAAGGCATGGTTGGCTGCGCGCAAGCGCAAGTGTGAAATCATGCTATGAATGACACAGCTATTTGCGCAGCCAAGTATCGCCCAACCACGCGCAACGCTTCCCGAGCTCTGTAGAAAATCACTTCTTCTGGACCTTCTGGACCTTCTTGACCTTCTTGACCGTCCCCTTTTTGCGGCCGTCCACGTACTTCTTCCAGGCAGCGCGCCCAGGCAAACGCACCCCGCCGTAACAGGGCGATCCCGACATGTCTCGCAGCCATGAGTACAGCGAGAGCACCCCAAGACCAGGCTAAGTATGTCACCAGCAAGGCCGCTTGTAGGCGAGCCACAACGGCCTGACAGCGGCAGGTTTCAAGCCGAAAGCCTGACACAAGGGTTTCGAGCCAAAAAGTACGTCACCAGCAAGGCCGCTTGTAAGCGAGGTTTCAAGCCGAAAGCCTGACACAAGCAGGATTCGAGCCGAAAAGTACGTCGCCAGCAAGCGGCTTGTGAGCGAGCCACAAGGGCCTGACAGCGGCAGGTTTCAAGCTGAAAGCCTGACACAAGCAGGTTTCGAGCCGAAAAGTAGTCACTAGCAAGGCCGCTTGTAAGCGAGCCTGTCTACAAGAGCTGGGATGAACAGACCCTTCCCACGCGCCTCACCTTGAGACAAGGGGTCGGCGGATTTGGCGCAATTGCAAGCTTCGGCCAGGCAACTCCGAAAGCCAGCTTGGGGCTGAGACCTTCAGACCCAGATAGGGCTGGCTGGCTCAAAGAGGAGAGAACGAGAGAGAAAATCCAGGGACGAAGAGTGTAGAAGGACAGATGCAGAGAGACAGAGAAGGAGAAAGCTAGGATGAATTTGTTAAAAAGAAAGAGACAGGGAAATCGATAGAGGAGGATAAGAAAGAGAAAGTGTCAGGGCACGAAACGCATAAAGAGAAAGAAAAGTATACAGAGACAGATACAGTGATCGAGGAAGATAGAGACAGAGAAAAAGCAACGAAAGAGAGAAAGAGAGAGAGAAAGAGACAGATAAGAGACAGAGGGAGCGAACAAAAGAGACAGAGAAACAGAGAAACAGAAGGAGAGAAGGGCCCCGGCTCGGGCCTCTACTGGTCGGTATGAAGGTGGTCGGTTGTCCGGGCAGTTGTTTGGCGGGAGAAGGATGACTGGGCCATGCTTCGTGTTCAGATTGCAAGGCGGCCTGCCATGTTTTCAGCGCTATTGTTCGAACACATCGGGCAACATGGCTGGTCCAGGTGAGCCATTGCGAGAGGAAAGGGCGCCCAAGTACGACCAGGCCTTTTTTCTTTTTTTTCCGTGACATGTTTTCCTCATTGTTGCCCTTTGCTTGCCGTTTGCCAGGGCAAGGACGCTGACGACGCTGACGAGCCGGTGGGTTTTGGGAAGCCATGCCAGACGCGTTTGGATGTTGCCGGTTCAAATTTCGGCTCAGGCACGCGGAGCTGACCTATGCAGAGGTGGTCCGAGTGCAGCCGCAGTGCCTTTGAGTTCGATGGACCCAAAATGATTTCAGCGAAATTCGAAGCCGGGGTCCATTTAGGAACCGAGGTCCATCGACCCAATTGAGGAGACTCCAATTTCTGGGTGGAATTGAGAGCAAATGCAACGTCGGAAAATGCGGGCAACATTTGCATCACCTGCAAGCAACATGTTTGCGATGCGCTGATTCCAATCAAACGTATGAAGCTTTGCACGTCCGATCCCCCGAGTTTGGGGTTGGCAGGTACTGCAGCTGGGCCAAAGGAAAATACGAGGAGATGCAGGCCAAGGCTACGAGTGAAGCCAGTGGAAGTTGAGGAGGATACCCTGGACAGGGGCCTATTTATTCATGAGAGGACGATCCCATGCGATATCCAAAGCAATCGAGGTCAAGCAGGGATGGTTGGGGTCTCTGCTTTGCGCCCTTCTTCTGCAATTCTGATTCATAGTGCCTGGCTTTGTCCTTGAAAGAAACAATCCTTGCCTGGCTATGTTGGGTTTTCTGAAATGTCCCCTGTTTCACCTTTGTTGGCTTTCCATTTCCCATTCGTGCCCATACCTATATCCGAGTGTTTGATTGTTGTGCATGTTGTGTTTTTCTTGTGGTCAATGCAGTGGGCACCTGCTGAGGATCTCAAGAACGTAATCGTGACACCACCCATTAAATTTGGCCTGGAGCGATATGCGCGGCAGGAGCCGGGGCAAATGTCGCCTGCCTTCAAAGCCTTTGGAGAATACTTACAAGGCGTGAGAGTGCAGCTTGGAAGCACTGCCTTCACAGATTTGTAGCAGATTCTATTGCTTTAACTTCTTCAAAGCTCTTTTCTTCGCACTTGGGACAGAATTGTCTTCCGTACAGTTCCGGAAAAAGCCTTTGCATGTTTTCAAGAGAGAGAGAGAGAGAGAGAGGCATTGTGAGTCCTGCTGCGAGGCGTTGACCTCCCAACGTCGTCCAAGCGGTTTGGGAAGTCGCAGGCTGGCCATGTATGAGAGTCACTTTCTTGTAAACGCCAGCCCAAATGAAAGCGTCATGGTCAGGTTGCGCATTATCCTTGCCTCGCGTCTTTCGTTTCTGTTTTTGCTTCCTTGCTTTGTTTGTTTGGCTGTTTGTTTGTTCGTTTGTTTGTTCACGCGTTTGCCAGTTTCGTTTGTTGGCTTGTGTTGTTTGTTTGTTTGCTTGCTTGCTTGTTTGTTTGTTTGTTTGTTTGTTTGTTTGTTTGTTTGTTTACTTTTTTGTTTGGGTGCTTTTGTGTTTGTGTGTTTGCTTCTTTGCGTCTTGGAATGTTTGGGTGCTTCGGTGCTTGTGTGTGTGTGTGTGTGTGTGTTTGCGTTTGTGTTTTTGTGTGTGTTGGTGTTTTTTGCTTCTGCGATGTTGTCTTTCAATCATGCTTATTTGCTTAGTTGCTTTACCTGTTGCTGCCCTCCCTTAAGGGGGGGGGCGGGGGGGCGGTGTGCTTGTCTTGAATCAAACCTACACAGATTGAATCTTGAGCTCATAAATACCCTGCTGAAAGGCAGACCCTGCTAATCCTTCTCTGCGCTGTTGACATTTCGGCGCCTTGTGAGTCAGCAGGCTGGCAGGTAAAGCGTGCTATTGACTTGCAACTTCTTGACTTGTTATAAGCGTGTTATTGCCCTTTCTGAGCAGAGTTCTGGATGGTGAAATTGGATTACCGCTCGTATCACTGCCTAGCTCTATGATGCTCCTTGGCTGCTTAGCTCTATGCTCTATGCAAACTCGCTCTGTCCTTGGCCAGGACTGCGAGCGCACAGACCGCTACCCAGAGCGAGGGGCTCCAAGGAGCGGGGCGCTTTTCGCTTGCGTCCTCCTTTCCTTCCTTTCCTTCCTTTCGTTCCTTTCGTTCCTTTCGCGGTTTTCGGACCGATTTTCCCTGTCGGAGCTTTGGGTGAATTTGCGGGTTGCTTTGAAGTCTGTTCTAGTTCGCCTGCGAGTTGTCAAACTGCCTGCTCGTTTTCAATTTCCCTTAGTATCTTTTGGGTACCAGCTTTGCTTCTCCCAAGAGATGCTCCTCCTGTCCACCATGATTGCCTTTCCCTCAAGGAGCAGTCTGGCCAGTGACCAGAAGTTGGCCAGTGGCGGCTGGCAAGTTAGCTTTGGAAAGCGCGAACGGGGATGGAAGTTGGTCGCATTGGCATGGCATCCTCCCCGTTTGGAATGTGTTCGACGCTTTCCTGCAACACTTGAGCCAATGGCAAGGCCACTCTGCCCACCTGGGTTTCTGGACGCCGCGGATGTGATATGTTAAGCTGTTTGAGCGATTTTTACGGCCGCTCAAAATGGGTGGTACTCACGGTACTCTCACCATCAAGAGCACAATGCCTTTCACAAAGACCCATCTGCAACAAAACGATTGCGGGTCTGGTTGTCTGTGCGTCCTGCCGGCAGGCATCTAGGGATCACGTTTGATGAGGCGCTTGAGTCGGGCTGAGCTTTGGGCTTCGTGATATCTATGGCATTGGACCTGATTTCAACTATTCAACCAAACCAAACGCAGCTGAATGCGTCAATGCTCACATTTCACGGCATCCTTGGACATTTAAGAGCTGCAAGCAACTCTATATCACTGGGAAACATCAAGATACATCACGGAAGAGACACTGGAATTCCGACCAGCTCAGCGGCAGGGCAATCCATGTCTGCTCTAGCAGTGGCATGCTGGAATGCGGCTCTTGTACAACCGTGACTTTGGGCCAGATGTTCCATTTGTGCTCATGTTTGCAATTCATTGAGGCGTTTGAATCGTTTGCAACAAATAACTGCAAGGAAAAACATCAGGCCTGCTGCAACTGACAGGTGTACAGAAAGGATCCGCAGTTCTGTGAGTTCGTGGTGAATGCCGTGCTGAACGATGACCAGAAGGCCAGAGAGATCAAGCTCTGCGAACAGATTTCCTAACGTGTTCACCTGTCACGGCCTGTCACGTGTTCTCGCCGATTTCGCAGAGCTTGCCGATTCACTTCTGGGCCTTGAGGTTCTCGCTGTGAATCTTCAGGTGAACCCAGGCATGCTTGCCCTCGCTGTGTATGTTCAGCACAAGGCAGGGGTAGATCTGTGTCCGTAGTGGCAAACCAGGTATGTTGACCTCTCGAAACCCACACGGGCTGTACGACCCACCCCACCCACATTGGCCCTTATGCCAGACGTGCCTGCAGTGCATGCCATACCATTTGCCACATCAGCCATCGTATTCATAATGGCCATGCATACCTGCTTTTCTACCCACGCAAGCATCTTCAAGCAAACTTGCATTTTGACTGTACATGCCGTTCGAGCCTGACCAGACTGACCATGCTCTACACATCTGCAACTCGCTACTGTAAACTTGACAAACTAGCTAAGTCAAATGGTTTGCCATATCAGTTCAGGCGGCTCAATGTTTTGAAGTCTTGCGCTCATTGGCATTGTGAGGCTGTGGCCTGTGCGTTGCATGAGCTAGTACCGTAGTTGTTTGTTCCAATAGGTTGTGGCCCCCCCTCGGGCATCACATGCCAAAACAATGAGTTCCGCGCTGGGCGCTATTGATCTTGTGTTGACATTTTTTTCAATATTATGTTGGTCCTACACGGCACATGCCACGCATTTTATTGATGGAACGCGCCTACTATCGCTTCTGAGTGAGGTTGCAGAGCGGGCGGCCCGTCGTACTTGGCAATGTGCTTGGATTCGGCGGCCAATCTGCTTCAGGTGCTTGAACAGCACGCATCGGAGTGAGCAGCTACAAGTGGGCCTCTGAGCAGGAAATCAGGCAGCGCGTTTGAGACACATTCAAACAGGTTGCCGTGACTCGTCCCCTAGCGATACGCAATGAGAACATATTTCCGCTTCTTTGGCGATTTCGGCCGATGGCCGAGGCAGCGGCATGAATTTGTGTCCATGGCGCAGATTTGGAAAGGCTGCCAGGCAGAGACCACGAGCTCAAGCCGCTTTTTTCTTGGCTCTCTTCGACTTCCAACCCAAGTGGAACCCTGAGTATCCTCATTGACTCGTTGGCCATGGATCCACAGCTTAAAGGCTAGCAGCCATGCTTCCCACGTGCAGTGCAATTTCCAACCTCAGTTGACCTCAAATCGTTTCTCGCTGAAGTTGGGAGTTGCATTACTTTTCCTTTCCGAGCTATGGCGGTGTCGGCGAGTTGCGCCTGGCAAGCCGCGCCTGCGAGGCTCGCCAGGCGACCTGGCCCGTTGCCGGCCTGTGCGTTCTCTCCATGCAAAACCTCATTCATGGCAACAGGGCTCTTGAGCTGGTAGCGCAAGAGCGGATTTCTCGCAAGTCTCAAACTGCTAGCAGAGCTGGTCGTAAACGGAGGCGATCAGTCCAGTGATCCGAGGAAGTGAATGGTAGGGACAGGTGCGACTTTTCATTGGCACAGGGCGGGCTTGGTGTTGGAAAGTCACTCCTCCGGAAAATTGCACCCATCTCGCGCAGATTTTATTTGTACTTGGGTCAATGTACACGTGTGTGTGCTTCAAGATGGGCCAGCGGCCAGCCAAGCCTCTTTTTGACTCTGCGGGAGACAGTTCTTGCTGAACGGTACTTTTTAGCAAACGGAGTGTACAGGGGCAGGCTGTCGGAAATGTGATGTCCATGGCAAGCTGTGACATCCCTGCAAGGTTGCAGCGGAGATGTTTCTCAGATGAGGAAAAGGCTTGGGCAAGTGTTTTGCACGCTCAGTGGCTGCTTTTTTCCCAATCCTGAAGAAGGAACCTTGGCTTTTCGTTTGACTAGCCGGGGCTCGGGGCGTAGGCCCGGCCAGGGGACTGGTTGGTTGGTTGGTTGGTTGGTTGGTTGGTTGGTTGGTTGGTTGGTGGTCGGTCGGTTGGTGGGCTGGGCAGCCGCATCCCCAGCATCCCCGGTTACTGGGTGTCAGAGTTGCTCGAGCGTAACGGGCCGCATCCCCAGCATCACCGGCCCTGCACGGACTAGGGCTGCCTATTGGCCATGATTTGGTGGCAGTCAGAGTTGCTCGGGGCTGGTTTCGGGTCTTAATGAAGGCAGGTCTTGGGTTTGTTTGGGGTTCATTTCGGCTCGGAAAAAATGGCTGATATCCAGGATGCTGTTGAGTGAATTTGCAGGCCAAAACCAGCCCAAATCTTGCATAACCACGCCCTGAAGCACCCAACAACTACTGCAACAACGAGGCGCGCATCTAGCGCAAATCAGAAACACGCCAACCCAAACTGACTCAAAGTCAACCTTAAACTCTCAGCCTTGCGAGCCGAAATGAACCCCAAACAAACCCAAGACCCGCCTCATTCAGACCCGAAACCAGCCCCGAGCAACTCTGACTGCCAGCAAATCATGGCCAATAGGCAGCCCTAGTCCGAGCAGGGCCGGTGATGCTGGGGATGCAGCCCACCAATCAGCCCCAGAGAACACCGCCTGTTGCCCCCAACCTGAGAGCGAATGATGGCGGCCTTTTGCTGAGCCGGGGCTAAAAACAAAGCCGGGGCTAGCAAAGAAATATACCTCAACCCTTGAAGAACTCAACTGAACAAGTCGCAAAATACGAGACGACGAAGCCACCCACAAGCGTTCAAGGAAGCAAGAGTCCAAGCAAGAGTCCAAGCAAGAGTCCAAGCAAGAGTCCAAGCAAGCAAGCAAGCAAGCAAGCAAGCAAGCAAGCAAGCAAGCAAGCAAGCAAGCAAGCAAGCAAGCAAGCAAGCAAGCAAGCAAGCAAGCAAGCAAGCAAGCAAGCAAGCAAGCAAGCAAGCAAGCAAGCAAGCAAGCAAGCAAGCAAGCAAGCAAGCAAGCAAGCAAGCAAGCAAGCAAGCAAGCAAGCAAGCAAGCAAGCAAGCAAGCAAGCAAGCAAGCAAGCAAGCAAGCAAGCAAGCAAGAGTGGGTTTTACGTGGCAGGCGCAAGGGAAAGCTCAGGAATCCGTGGCAGGCGCAAGGGAAGCTCAGGAATCCGTGGCAGGCGCAAGGGATTCGATATGTTTTACCCCTGGCCACCTGATGAGGTTTGCGCGGGTGTGCGCCGGTGCAGGTTTGCAAGTTGTTTTGAACATCACCCCCCCCACCAATCCCCCCAGCGATGATGATGGTGATGGGGTCGCGGTGGTGTGCAGTTGCATTTCTGCAACTGTTTTTGAAAGTTAGCAAACCCCACCCCTCCACCCCCCCACCCCCCCATGATGACACAAATCAGATTTAGCAGACCCCCCCCACCCCACCCCAATCCATGGCGTGCGCAGAGGTCTTCGGGTTGTTTCGAACGCTAGCAGCCCCCCCTTAATCAAGCGCAAGGAACACACACACACACATACGTATATACGTATATACACATGCTACTGCCCTTGAACTCAGGTTTTCGTCCAGAACTCAAGTTTTTAGCCAGACTGGGGGGGTTCTGAACTGAGCTGACATGACGCGCAACTCCATGCAAAGTCAAACTGAGCAGAAGTTAAGCTGAACGTTCAAAAGGAGCTCCTAGTTAAACAGCTCGAACGCGAAGCGCGTTTAAAGCCACGCTGGAGTCTGCGAAGCGCACTTTGGCAGCCCCAGCACAAAACGCGCAACTTTCAGCTCAAGAGTAGCGCGCGAAGCATGCTTTGGCAGCTTGTAACAGCTGTTTGGTTATTATTTCAGTTTTACAAGGAAACTCGGCAAATCACCCGCTTAGGGGAAAGGAACCCAATCTTGCGCGGTTGCATTTACATGTTAGTTCGTTGTTTTTGCATGACTCCATATACATTCTAATTCAGTGTACTTCAATCAAACTTGCGAAGCAGCTATCTCAGTTGCGCGTTACTTCTCTAGTGCAGTTCAACAAGTATAGGAATAATATGAACATCGAAACTTTTACCGGTCGTAGTTTCTTACGCGTTTCAAAAGTTAGTTGGGGAACACAGCTATTGTCATGGCCAATTCAGACTGGAGTACTTCAGCCATTCAAATTAAGGAGCCAAAGCTGAGACCATACACTGCAGCAATGCCAAATGTGGATCATGGGGGGGGGGGTGAGCATATATATATATATATACAAATACGTATAGAAAATGCGTGGGTTCTGGGGGGGGGCCGCGGCCCCCAAAAATAAATATATATATATATATATATATATATATATATTATTGTATAAATGGTCAGTCCCCCCCCCCATGGGCTGCAGCATTTGTTGGAAGCTTGCGGAATTTGCCACGCAAATCAGTCTGTACAGGAACCAAGAGAAAACTCATAAGGGTTATTGCCCTTATCTAACTCCATGTGGCTTAAACCAAGCGAGAACTGAGCCAAACCAAAAACCGAAAAGTGTTTTCAAACATAGGCCTGGATAGAAGGCCAACTATTCAAGATTCCACAGGCATTGTTTTAGAACATGCTCAATCCTGGCCCCACAAAGCTTGACAGCTTTTCTACACTCTTTAAGGTTTTCCCACCTGCGTTGAAGGTTGAAGATCTCCAGATGTTGTTTTTTGGGAGTCGTCCATCCTGGCCAGCCCTCAAGTAGCTGTAAAGTTTTCACAACACATGTTTCCCTGTTTGGCAAAACTTGGAACGTGCCTTGCTTGTCCGCCTTGAGGATTGACAATTCTTGATGGTCGAACATGTACTCAGGGCAATCCAGGATGTGCAAGCGCATGCTGACGCATGCTGGATTCCTCTTAAGTGTATCTTTGAAGAATCTCAGCAAGAGTTGTCAGATAATGTACAATCTTCAACCTTCAGCCCAGGATATGCTAGCACATGCTAGCGCATCCTGGGCTGCGCTAGGTACTGATTCTACAATGTAGGTCTAAAAAAGAATGTGTTTCGCATGCAGTTTTAATGTTTGGACGAAAACCGGAGCATTGCAGGGGATATATCTCTCTCTTTCTCTAGGCACCCCCCCGGGGGTTTTTCCTTCTTCAGGACCAAGCGCCTGCTTTTTTTAGGCTCGCGCCACATCCATGATCCACTTTTCCCTCCTTTGCACATCTTCCACGTGCGCAAATCTACGCAAAAGCTACCATCCAATAGCTTTGCGTGTCTGCTCATTTGCCATGTTCCACCTTGTCCAATCTTCTCCACTACTGTCCATTACCTTTCCACGTGCCTGTCAGGCAATCAGCTTTCCTCTTTGGAAAGGATTTCCTACGTAAATTAGCAAGCCAAACCGACACTCAAATTCCATCTACACAGCAATTATCTTTGATTTAAGTCCGATCTGGAAAGTATTTCCAATTTTTTTACACAGTTAGAATAGACATTCAACCGCACATGTTTTGCTGTTCAAATCTATGACAACTCTAGTTAGATGTTGATTCACATCTTATTTAGTAGGGAAGTAGGTGTTAATTCCAGTTGATGCAGAAAATGTATTTGAATTATTCCCTTACTAAGTTCTATTCGTGGACAGGCCAGGAGGTAGAAGCCGGTTAAAACTCGTGCCTTGTTAAATTCAACGCGCGCCCCGCTCGTTTTCACATCACATATGGAAAGGATTTCTCCTTTCCATGCTCATCCAGCATAGAAATCCTAGTAGACTCTCTTCCTTTAAACATCGATTGAACATCAATTGGACTCTAACTTGGTATACGGCGCCTTATAAGGAGATCTGAAGGGAAGCTTTTTACAGAGCTTCAAGAGGAGCTGTGCAAGGCGCCCCGTAAGCAGCTTTTCAAGGAGTTGACATGTGCAGTAAAAGCATAAGGAGCCTTACATGCAGCTTTGCAATGACCCTTATCAAGTGCTTTATCATGACCCTTAAAAGGGCTGCGCAAGCATTTTTGCAAGGAATAGTGGCAGGAGGAGCCTTCAGGAGTCTGTGTCATGTGTCGTGCGCGGCGCTTTCTTTGAAGCTTCATTGAAACAGTCTTATAAGCAGCCAAGTGAGCTTCAAAAACAGCTTTGCAGGTTGCTTTCTATAGGAATTGCGATCCTTATATGCCATGGCACAGAAGAGCTGCGCCAGGAGCTTCAGAGGGAGTCTTACAAGCAGCTTTACAGGAGCCTTACATAAACAAGTTTTTGTACGGAGCCTTGTACAACGAGCCTTATAAGGAGTGTTTATACGGAGCTGTGTCAGGCGCCTTCAGCAAGGAGCCTTCAAAAGAGCTGTGTCACGAGCTTGAAAGGGAGTGTTGAATTCCAACTCAACATCGAACATCGATTTCGCTGGTCACACCCGTTCATTGCGGCTCCAAGATGGTTTAATCATGCAGTACCAAACCTGCCCAAAACAGGGATATGCCAAAGAGAATCGTTGGAAACCAGCCACTACAAAACACAATTCGAGAAAAGAAGAACACAACCCAGAGGAGAAGTGTTAGTTTTTGCCAAAAGGTTTTGTTCCAGTGTTCTGTTGTTTGATTTCCCCTGAGTTTTGTTCGGTTGTTCAGCTCTATCCCTTCAAGCAACCAAAAACAAAATAATTAACATCCGCATGAAGAAGGGCCCCGAACCAGAAAACCCAGAAATCAGGATTTTCATGCAGAAGGGCCCAAACCAGAAAAACTAGTCTAGGAGACCCTTCTTCTTCTTCTGGAGGACCCAGGTTTTTTGTTTTTCTGGTTTTCTGGTTCGGGGCCCTTCTTCATGAGGACACTGTTTTTTGGCTTGCTGTTTTCTGTTTTTCCTGTTATTTCTGATTTTTTCAATGTTTTTCTGGTTTTTCTGGTTTGGGGCCCTTCTTCCAGAAGATCAAGATTTGTCTTTTTTCCGTAGGATGATCTTGGTTCTTCCTCTTGCAGAAGACTATGTTTCCTTCGATTGTTCAACTTTTCCCAGGCACTTGAATTTTTGGGCTTGGGAGGGGCGGGGTACCATGTACAATATGCATATATGGTTACCACCTCCTCCCAGGGCCCACCTTGCCTCTCTTCTAGTTGAAGGTGTCAACTCTACTCTGTCTGCCCCGTTTTTGCAGACGCTTGAAAGCACTGTCAAACGCTGCGTTCTTGTTGATTTTCTACCTTCTGTATGACAGCACATGTTTGTTGTTTTAAAGCTTGAAAGGCAACAAAGCGAAAACGGAACCTTTTCAGATTCGAGCCTGGCTTTGTTTGAAAGCACTGGTTTTTTACAGCGGCTTTGAGTACACCAGGAAACAAACATTGAAAAATGATGTTTTTTTGCTGCGTTGAGCTCTGACACCTGCGCAGCACAGACCCAAACGCACAACATCTCCGGAAAATGAAAGCTCTGAGGCCTGCGCATGCCAAACGTCTCCAGACCAATTTTGGGAGTCTGGGGGTATTTGCCCATCATTTGTTTAGCCACATCTAATCTAAATCACACTTGGATGAGTTACTATAAAAAAATTGCTTGCAAGGGCCACTTGAACTCTTCCCGGATTAAGCTCTATTCAGATTTGAGTCATATCTGGGAAGGAATTCCTAATTTAGTTTTCATGTTCAAAAGGCAATTGAATTCTGACTGCATTAAAGTATGTTTAAACTCTGTTTAAATGTTAATTGTCCTTATTTGTAAAGGAATGTTTGAGCTTGATGAGCATGTAAAGGATATTCACACTCGGGTTAAACAAAGAAATTTTGGCGAATCATGAGTTGCGGTGAACTGTGGCCTTTCTAAGTTCTTTTCAACATTCCACTTCAATTTGGAGTAGAATCTTATTTGGAAAGGAAATCATCTTTGGACGTGTTGGAGGACTCCCGCCTCCAAATTATGAGGCTTGGAGAATCCAACGATGGACATTTCGAGGGCCCTGATCTCCAGATTCTACTTTTCAGGTTTTCCAAAATGGAAATTCCAAGAGACTAGAGGTCCAACAAGATGCTGCGAAACGCGGTGTGTTGCAGAATTTGCTCAGAGTGTGTTCCTTGGGCCGAAGATCAACAACACTTTTTCCTAAAACATCCATTTGCTGCGCGAAAAACCTACAGAAAGTTCATGAAAGCTTGGAAACCTTCCTGAGTGTTTCGCGGGTTCCCCCCAACAATTGGAAGTTTTTCGCAGTAAGATGTGACTCGACCAACTTTGCAAAGACTTCTCACCAACCCCCCCCTCTCCCCCCTCTCCCCCCTCCCCTCTCCTCATCCGCCCGGGCGTTGCCTTGTTCCTTGTTGCAGGGAAGCCGTCAAGCCCTTGACATAGTTCATAAACAACCCTGAAATCATATAAGCTCTTTGCTGTTAGTACTCAACATGACTTGTCACCCACGCAAAATACGCAACAACTGCACACTTCTTGCTTATATATGCTCACACCCCCTGTCTTTAGAATAAGAGATTTTGTACATTTTGAAGTGGAAAGGCAGGCCCTGGAGGGGGGGAGCACATATATATATATATATAAATATCTAAATGAACATACCCTAAAATTTGATATGTTTGCTTGCCCGCGCGCATATCTGTGTTTGCGCCGACGGCTCGATTGCGTGAGACACTTTAACTTTGTGATCATGGCACAGTGTGCACACGTCTTAACACGAGGTCAAGCGAAGACACACCACCAATGCGGTTGCTCTAGGCAGTACTGTGTCACAGCAACGCTGGCCTGGCACTGAGCAGGGTCAGTAGAGCATCGGCGAGCTGTGCTGATGCTCATTGAAACACACTGGCATTGTGAGGCCTTCCGGATGTTGAGCCAAGTTCGATGACATTGTCTGTTCATGTTTGGTACGATCATGACTGTGTGCAGTCACCGTGACTATCTCTGGAGTGTTGCTCTGTACCGTTTGCTCTGTTTTGCAGTTGGCTGCGAGCATTGCTGCTGAGGTGATGAAGGATACTTTAAACGCAATTTCCAACGTGCAGTGCACTTATGGCTTGCTGTTTGCTTTTGGCTAGTAAAGGCTTTCAATGCTTTGCGGTTTCTTCAATCAAAGGTTCCTTCCACAGCCTTGTGAAATGGCATGTTCAGAGCAGTTGAGCTCCAAGCGGGCGACTCTTCAACTTGTGTGCTTCTGAGGGAAGACGAACAAGAGTTGAGATGATGCAGCAGACACTCGGCAGACATGTGAACTCGAAGCCATGAACCTTATAGCTTACAATTTTCCAAGGCTTTCTTCTGGCCTGAATTCCCAAAATTAGTCTCGGTTTTTATTGCGCTCGAAACGTTCCCGGGCTTGAGATGAGTGCGTTTACCAGGATCAGCTCTGCGCACGACCAGATGCGTGCAGGGCTCTCGGAGCATGGCACAGCTCGGACTTGGTGCCCAGCAGTCAAGGTTCGGTACATTTGGGAGGTACCAAGTACTCAAGCGTTTTACGGAAGCAAGCCCTCGAGCAGGTTATTGATTCTGAATGTTTTACGGTCTCCAGCCATCTACCAATGGCCTCATTGGGATAGTCATGAAGGCGCTTTCAAATCACACGGCCAAGGTATTTTACGAGCTGGGCCGGCAGAATCTAATGGCCAAGGGCAGGATGGGCGCGTGCTGAAACACGAATTTGATATGCGGGCGAAGGGCGGCGCGTTGGGCACATGGCTCCGAAGACCCAAGCTTGAAGCCACTATAGTTCGGTCGACTTTGCTTGTTGGCCAACCTCAGTTAGGACGGTAAGACCACTAGCATGGCCAGGCTGACTCCAGACGAGGCTGCCAGGTTTGCTCGCATTGATGAGCGCCTCTTTAAGCTGCGCGTTTCTTACTTTCGGCTGGGTTGAGCTAAAAGGGTTCGGTGGTCCTTGGGCGCATTTGTCATTTGTGTAGGAGCTTGCAAATCGCTGCTTGATACTG